GTTCCATGTCTAGTCACACTGGCCACGTGACCATGGAAACTGTCTTCAGACAAACGCTGGCTCTACGGCTTGGAAATGGATATGAGCACTGCTCCCTAGAGTCAGACACGACTGGACTAAATGTCAAGGGGAATGTTTAAACTTAAATAGCATGGATAGTCTAGGTGACAGGACCCCTGGTTTGAAACTGCTGCTGCTAAATACCAGATCAGTAAATGGAAAAACAATAGCCATCTAGGACTTGATCCTCAGTGAGCAGGTTAATCTGACTTGCATCACAGAGACTTGGTTGGATGGGCAATCTCACTCAGCTGCTTTGTCCACCAGGATTCTCTGTGCAGCAGCAGGCAAGACCTGGGGGTGAGAGGGTGGGAAGGTGGAGTTGAAGTGGTCTATTGTGATTCTGTCTCTCTCACTAAGTATACCAGATCAGTAAATGGAAAAACAATAGCCATCTAGGACTTGATCCTCAGTGAGCAGGTTAATCTGACTTGCATCACAGAGACTTGGTTGGATAGGCAATCTCACTCAGCTGCTTTGTCCACCAAGATTCTCTGTGCAGCAGCAAGCAAGACCGGGAGATGGGAGGGTGGGAAGGTGAAGTGGTCTATTGTGATTCTATCCCTCTCACTAAGCTACCTTCCTCAGTTTTCCGGGTTTTAATGTGTATATTTGAAAGTGGGATCCTGGAACAGAATAGGGATTAAAAAGGACTGCTGCTCAGCAGTCTCCTTTCCTGAACTCAATGAGTGGGTCTCGGGGGTAGTGTTGGAGTCTCCTCGACTTGTTCTTCTGGGGGACTTCAAAATTCATGCCACAGCAGCTTTGTCAGGAATGGCTCAGTACTTCATCTACTCCATGACAACCAGGGGACTGTCCCAAATGGTATCTCCTCCCACTCATGCTGCAGGATACACTTTAGACCTGGTTTTCTGTACTGGAGTACAACTGGTGATCGAGATGTGGAGGAACTCTCTGTAGTTCTGTTGTCATGGACAGATCATCATCTGGACGAGGTTTAGACTGACTGGAACTCAAAGATGATTAAGATGGTCCACTGCAGGAGGTTGATGGATCCCCTATATTATTTAACATCTACATGAAACTGCTGGGAGAGGTTGTCAATTTTGGGGTTTGATATCACCATTATGCTCATGATACCCAACTCTTCTCCCTCCTTTCCATTTAAATTTAAGGAAGCTGTTTCAGTTTTAAATCCATGTCAGTAATTGATTGGATGAGGGCAAATAAACTGAAACTTAATCAAGAGAAGATAGAGGTGCTTCTGGTGAGTTAAAAAGCAGATCAAGGAATAGGATTGCAGCCTGTGTTGGATGAGGTTACACTCCCTGTGCAGCTTGGTGGTGCTCCCAGATTTGTCTCGAAGCCTGAATGCCCGGTTTTCAGCAGGGGCCAGGAGTGCCTCTGCACAGTTAAAACTACTGCACCAGCTGCACCTATTTCTTGAGACGTCTGATTTGGCCACGGTGACATATGCCCTAGTTACATCTCAGCTGGATTACTGTAATGCACTCTACATGGGGCTGCCTTTGGAAAGTGTTTGGAAACTTC